TGTGACCCAGTTTCCTGGTTAGGGTTTTCATACCCTCGTGCCAGGTCTTAGCTTAACCACCCTTGACCTGCTTCGGCGAACGTCGCTCGCCGTGGCAACCTATTTCGGGACATGCGTAACACATGTCCCAACCAACGTTATGTTTGGAGGTCGCCCGTGGTTGCCTAAAACTGTACCCTTTACCTCAGCATTCGTGGTCCGGCGGCCCAAACAGATTCGTGTGACGCTGCGTAAACAGTGGTGTCCAAGTATCGGTAGCTTATTTCGATGGTGAATGTTTGGATTAGCCCATTCGGTTTTTCACAGGCATCAGGCACTGTTGATGNTAGTTCCCCGCTGTTTGAATGATTTTTAAATGCGGTGGAAATGTTTATGGTAAATGACAGAGAACACTGGACAGCTGCTTCGTCCTGTTTGGTACTCGTCAAAAGTGCGTACTTTTTGTGTCCCTGTCAGAACTGGAACCGCGAACATTTGGGCCGTATCCAAACTTTCGTCATCTAAGTTGATTGAACCATTCGCACAAAGTGATAATCGTCAATTGTGTATTTCAGGGGTAAGGGTTTAAAGTCCCGACCAAAGTGCTCGCGGTTCGAGTCCTGATTGGGACACAAAAAGTACGCACGGCTGACGAGTCCCAAACAGGACGAAACAGCTGTCCACTACTCTTTGTCGGTTATCACAAACATCGAATTTGAATGCGCTACCTCGTGGGGAATTAACGATCTCCCAACGGGTAAAACCCACACCCAAGTCCATCGAAAGTGCCTGGTGCCGCTAAACAACCGAATGGATTCATCCAAGCTTGATACTCTAAACTAACCTTACACCTTCGTCCGGCGGTTTTGATCGCTGTGTTTTGACTGTTTGATTGGAGTACAATGAAGATTGGAATGTTGAGAGTAGTGTCAAAGAGAAAATTGAGAATTCTAGTGGACTACGTTTGGGAAGATGCACGGGGTTCTTTGTTTGTGACACTCAACCATAGTAACCGGTATCTGTAGCGACTGGTTACACTGATTCTGAGGTTCGTCCAGTGAGGATAGCGCACCCTATACAAATGAGTATCTTGTATGGGGGTTCCTAAATCCTCATGCCAGGTCGTTGTTTGACCGTCCTTGACTTTTCCCTTCAGGTATCTACTGTATCTACCGTATATGACATGATTTTTTCACAGCTTTCAGCTATTTCCGTTAACTCAGCGTATTTAAGCTATTTTTCATTTTTGTGGTGTATTTGGCAGCTGAATTTATTTCAAATGATGTAATAAAGCAAGTTCTTGATTTCAGTTGACTCAATTGACAGCCTTTGTTTTCTCTGTTCTCGTAATGGCCGAGATTTTACAAGCAAAGCAGCATTGACGGAACTACGGCAGCACACACTCGGCCGTTCTTACGGTATACCCTAATGCACTGTTTTCTCCCGTTCGCAGTCGGCAACAGTGCGGACCCGGAAGGACTCACCAGCATCGATTTGGTTACCGTCTATGTTGCTCCGAAATCAGATGTCGAATGGCGACGTGGGTATTCCTCTAAATTCGGTAGTCACGTTGGTCCGATGAATCGTTCTTGGATTCGATCACGGTCGTGCACTAGTGGCTCAGTTGATTGGGTACCAAAAACTGCATGTGAGTACTTGTTAACTCTGTTCACCTTAGTTTTCGGTGCATCGGACAGTTTTTTTTACTCTGAACATTTGTAAATATGGTGGGATGTAGCTGTTCTCATACCACCCCCATCGTGAAATATCCTCCTCAAAACTGTCAACATGGAATCGTGAACACCAAGCGGCAGTCAGGAGACATGACCCGCTGTCGTTGATTTTCCTCCACGAAGATCAAAAAAGGACGTCAGTTTGACTTCAAACTGGTGAGAATTATCGTCCAAGCCCAGTCGAAACACGCCGGTGAAGTTCTCGAGGCTTGCCACTCTTCAATGAACTCAATAAACAGGCACATCGAAATGGATCACGTGTACACGCCAATGCAACTCAGGGATCAAATGACGCAACAAAAAAGGTCACATCGTGACTTGAGAACGGAACGAAACCGCAGTCAGGACGAAATAACAAACTCCCACCCTCACCCCCGCGCACCAGTTTAACGGCAACCAGAATGAAAACAACGGACAAAAAATTGTCGGTGGAGAAGAAGATGTATGAACGAACGGATAAAAGCAGAACAGTGCCACTTCACAAGTACTGATGGTGTCACCTCGGCTGGTGATGAAATGTTTGCAAACAAATTGCCAAGCTTGGCAAACAGGTGAAATAGAATTCAGTTCACCCGACCTACGAGAATCGATTTCAATAACTTGACATCCTCCATTCTGTTAGCATGATATTGTCCTCGTGTTTTCTGACGCGAAGTGCATCGGTTGTTACTGTGCTTACCTGCTGCGTGAAGGTTTCAAGCAGAGGTGAACTGATTTTCTCATTGCTATTTGTAATCGTTTGGAACACCGTGCTTTGGTTATTGATGATACATTCCAGCTGTATCGTTATCTCCGGTTTGTAAGTTCTACTGCTTGCCACTCACACGCGCACAACCTGCTCATCTCAGCATTGAGCAACCCAATTGTGTCCCGACATACATTACTTTTCCTGTGTTTTACCGTACTGCTCTTTGATATAACTTATCGTTTATTTCTTTCGTTCACTCGTTTTCTCTCGTCTAGCTCAAACGGAATATGCGCTTGCATTCCGACTGGATCGTCTTTTCACCACCGGATTTGTG